GAAAGAAAGAAAGAAAGAAAGAAAGAAAGAAAGAAAGAAAGAAAGAAAGAAAGAAAGAAAGAAAGAAAGAAAGAAAGAAAGAAACTACCCAAAAGCAAATAACAAGAAAAACCATCTCTTCAAAATGTTTTTATTCCTCAAATTATAATGCTTATATTATCCTATAATCGAGTTAAACAGATGAAAATGTATTTAAATGGATTCATTTAGCCTGTACAAAATCTTTTGTAAAACAAAAATGTCACTATATTTTTGTTATGTAAGTACAATGAGTTCATGAAAATGATATCTAAAATGTGGCTTAAAAAGCAAGTAAAAAAGTAATGCAACCCATATTCATCTATAACTTCTATAAAATGAATGAGGAGACAACACTTTAAGAGAAATGTATTGCAACAGCACTCCTTTATGGTAGAGTTGCTAGCTATGATTTCTGCTTTTCTCTTCCAGGTTCATTGTTTTCCCAACTTTCTGCAGTGGCAATTTTTAACAATAATGCTTTTTCTTTAGTTTTCAAAATTACAGTTACATAATTTCCCTCCTTCCCTTTCCTACCTCCAACCCCTCTCACACACCCCTCCTTGCTCTCTTTCAAATTCATGGTTCTTATTAATGGTTGTTTCATATATACATAGAGGATTTTTATAATAGGAAAACTGACAAAATGATTTTGAACACACACTGTTTTTTAAGTTCTTTGATGAAAATTTTCTTGTGTGACCTTGTGTTGTAGAGTAGTCCTTACTAAGTCTATTGTAAAGAAAAGGAAGCCAAGGATCCTCGAAATGAATTAGCCCAGCTAACAAGGAAAGACCAAAGTCCACCCATCCTCACTAACACCTTCATCTACACCTCCTAGGACAATTACTGAGCACAGCTTGTCACCTGTCACCCATGTCTTACCAAGCATCTACAGAGTGTTTTGTTCAGTGCTGGATTCTGGGGAATTAGTGACAGAGACTAAAAATTGTAATATACACAATAGTAACACCACATGTAAAAGGCAAGTCCCCACTAAAGAAGGGAATGCCTAGTTGGTATAGACTGCTACTGCGTTGGGACATACCCATAACTGAAATCCATATTACAAAGAGGCAAATGTCATTACAACCCATGAGCACATCTTTTCATTTGAGCACTGGGGATCCAGGAAAATCTCCACATCACATAGAAAAGATGAGTATGAGAAGCGTTACCCAGAAATAGAGACCAATGTCAAGGACAGCTATTAGAAGGCCATTAAGAAGAAAAGTTTTATGAGCAAATCTACCAAAAAAAAAAACTGTTTTCAAATGCAAATGACCAAGAATAGCTTCATATTAAAATCAGAGCAAAAAGAAAGACCTTAAACTATCAGATCTGATGACTTATTATAAATAGTTTGTTAACAGTAAATGCCGCCGATAATACTTTATGTTACGTTCAATGAGTATGTTACAGAAAGGGTCAAATGCAGTTTTTTGACTAGCGGACTTCGCATTAAATATTTTCATTAGCCGGGCGGTGGTGGCGCACGCCTTTAATCCCAGCACTCGGGAGGCAGAGCCAGGCGGATCTCTGTGAGTTCGAGGCCAGCCTGGGCTACCAAGTGAGTCCCAGGAAAGGCGCAAAGCTACACAGAGAAACCCTGTCTCGAAAAACCAAAAAAAAAAAAAAAAAAAAAAAAATATTTTCATTAAGATACGATTTATTCATCAGTTAAAAGCTTGTGGTATTTTATATTTCTTTTCTTTTTTTACTGGTTTTTTCAAGACAGGGTTTCTCCACGTATCTTTGAAGCCTGTCATGGAACTTGCTCTGCAGACCTGGCCTCAAACTCACAGAGATCTGCCTGGCTCTGCCTCCCGAGTGCTGGGATTAAATGTGTGCACTACCACCGCCCAGTAGTATTTAACATTTCTAAGCACACACATATACTTTTTAACTACCTAAAATCAGGCCACTTATAATGACACTATACTCTACATACATAATGTGTATCTATTTGATCATATATATCCATAAAAACATGGTTTTTGGGTTTTTTTTTTTTTACAAAATTCTTTATTATGTATTGTATCCTCAGAAATAGTTCCTGTTGTGTCCCCTACAGAATAAACTTTAAAAATTCATGGAGTCTACTGCTCTCTGTACATTAAAAATACGTATTTTTACTCTCCTTGTGCCAGAATAACTGAGTTGGACCTGACCGAGCACATCTCAGTATTATCTCACTTAAGACATTTGACAATTGCAAGGGTTCATTGTATGTGTCAACTTGATGAGGCCACAGGGTGCTCTGATCGTGACATCCAGGCTAGGAGAGTGGTTTGCAATGAGATTAATATCTAACATTGTGGACACATATAAAGTATGTGCTGCCTTCATCCATCCCACTAAAGATGGAGTGAGGAAGAGCTCAATCTCTCTGCCTGTTTTTGACTTCCAATATCAGTTTTCCTCTACCACTGAACTCAGACCTGGACTAGAGCAACAGTCATGCATCCTGGCTTTTAGACTTGAAATAAGACTGGAATAAACAGAAGTTTATTCAAGAGTTGGGGGAAGAGAGAGAGAGAGAGAGAGAGACAGAAGCAAAGAGGCAGCCTTCAGCACTCACCTTGATCTTTGTAAGCTTTTATTCTTCTGGGCTCATGAAAAATTATCTTTCTTATTTACCAACATAGTTATCACTTAAAAGAGAGCTTTAGAAATATTTAATCCTGACATTAAACATATCATGTACTTGGTTTTCATGTTTGGGTTTGCTTACTTGGTCATTAAGTTGTCAATAATTCTAGAAAACTTAGTTCTGGCTATAAATTTCAATTCTTGTGCATTCAAGTATTATCAAAGCTTCCCTTTCATCTGGTCATACATTTGCAGATATGTTCAAATATGTAAATGCATTGTTCTTTAATAGTTTTTATTTTAAATCACCGTTCTTCATTTTTTCCTTCATAGTCTTGATAGTCTTTTAACTCAAAATAACACAATTTACTTCCCCATTAAAATTTATTCTCTCTTCGTACATTTTCAAATAATTCATGACCATCTACAGGACTCGTTCCTTCATGTGGCCTATGGCAAAAAAAAATTAAAATTTTCTGTGCTCTCCTGACCTCTAATAAATTGGTGAGGGCCTTCATTTACTTGATAGCATGTTTCTCTTTTCACTCTTCTGCCATGGAGGAACCCTAGTTACGCCACCCTTAGTGCAGGGAGCAGGCACAATTTCTGCTTATCCCTAGGTAGCAGGCCTTAGCTCCTAGTTAGCATAGCGAAAAGCCTATCCTCTTTGGGAACTCATGGACAGGATACTCTCATTACTGTTCACAGCTCCTGGTCACCCACTCTACCCTCTCCAAGTCTTTGCATGGTCTGCAGTGTTCTTGGCCTTGTCCTGTGAGCATATGTGAACCCACAACTTTTGTGGATCTCGTCTGTCAACTGTTAAATGTGTTCAGCCACTGCCAGGTCTCTAGAGAGAAAATCTCTACCTCACCAATGGGCTGAATAGGAAGGAATGCAAATTACTGGTGTTGGGGACTACATAGCCTTCCAAACACTGATATCTAAAGAATATCTCATCATCACAAAGTAACTGCTGTGGGGTAACTGGTTCTGAGATATGGCAAAAGCTAAAAAAGAAACCTCTAATTGCTGGGGACTCTGAGCTGTGGACTGTGTGGCAGCACGCTGTCTCTGTCGATCACTATTGTCTCTTTCCATACTATGATTCTCTTGTCTCCGAGATGATGTCAACATGGTATCAGGTTGAACTTGTCGGACAGGTGGTCACCGAGGCTTCCGTTTCTTACAGCAGTGAAAAGGGCAGTGCCTTGACCAAGTAGAAGTTCAGCCCTGCTTTCCAGGGTCCAATCTAGAGCTCTCAGGTCACTGTGACTATCCTGGGGACTGCCATGGGCTACTTGAGGTTATAATACAGATATTGTTTATAATTATGAGTACAAGGGACAAGCCAAAGGACACCCTTGGTAAGGTCTGTGGAAAGGAAGGAGACCACCATCCTGCAGAGAATTAAGCATGGCATTCCTGGTGTCGTGCATGCAGGGGTAGTGACCTTGCTGGGCTTCTGGGCTGTCGCTTCCCTTGCTGCTGTCGTTTGTTTTCTTTTGACCCCCAAGGGCGTCAAGGTTCACATCCATGGTGGCCCGTGGCCTGTGGCCCAGGTGCTGATGAAAACAAAAAGGGGATAGGGAGAGGGAGGAGCATTTGGCACTCAACCAAGCTTGGGATGCAAAACCCATTGCCAATATGCCCTGGGCTCCGCACCGTTGCCTAAAAGCACACCAAAAAGCTAATTCACAATCACAAGTCCAGAGACTTAGACTTTACTGGATGTGGACCTCTACCCAGGAAGATAAACTAGGAATCCCTGGAGGAAGGGGCAGCCATTTACAATGTAGGCTCACAAGTTCCTGAACCTTTCCCTATAACCACACCAAAAAATCTGTGCCAAAGATGATTGTGTAGAGACAAAAGTTAAAGTATAAAACATTCTTGTTAGAAACCCAAAATATTGCCAGAGAGTTTTTTTCATTTTAAAAAGGCAGTGAAGAGGAGAAAGTGGGGGGGTTACCTATGTAATAGGAAATGTGGGGCTGCTGTAGGAGGTGGTTTTAATTAGGTTTGAGAGTCCTATCTAGGGTTCTTTCCCTGCACCACATCACTGACAGTGCTTCTCTTGCAACAAACATCTTAATCCACAGAGTTGGAGGGAAACATCCATGGCATCCTACGGGACAAACCCTTGGCATCCTTGTGGCACCTGTGCAGGGGTGAATCCAAACCCAATGTCTTTAACATATGTCTTTATATATGTCAACTATTACCATGAGGCAGACCTGAAAACTTGAAGATATTGATTTCAGGAAGAAACTTATAAATATGACAAAGGGGAAGAGGGCCCTCCCCCACCACCTCTACTAAATATATCCAATGCACAGCCACCATTAAAAAAAAAAAACTTTAATGAGAAACATAAAGATTAAAAACCTAAATACAGAGAAAAGAAAACAGCAAAAATAAATACCAGAGCAAAGCTGCACAAGCAAGCCTAACTGGAACTTTAAAACTTACCTGAAAGAATTTGTAGATCAAAGGAAAAAGGGCTCTGATCTATTTTTGTGTCTCTATAATTTACTTCAAAATTTACAGTGATGTCCACCGAAATGTACCAACCGGTAAATTACCACAGCTTTAAGTAAGTCTAAGGGGGATGGAAAGATGGCTCAGAGGTTAAGAGCACTGGCTGCTCTTCCAGAGAACATAGGTTTCATTCCCAGAACCCACAAGGCAGCTCACGGCTGTCTGTACTTTCGGTTCCAGGGGACCCAACACCGTCAGACAGATACATATGCAGGCAAACACTAATGCACATAAAACAACAAAAAATCATTTTATTCATGTGGTGGTGGTACAAGCCTTTAATCTCAGCACTTGGGAGGCAGAGGCAGGTGGATTTCTGATGTGAGGCCAGCCTGGTCTACAAAATGAATTCTAGAATAGCCAGGGTTACACAGAGAAACCCTGTCTGGAAACAAAACAAAACGAAAATGAAGTCCTACTAGCAGGTAGATCTGAAGTGCTACTAAATTTAAACATATTTGTTTCCTATAGTCTTAGAAGGATAAGTAAGCATAAAAACAGAACTCATTATTGCCTTAGTCATCAGAACACACTTGCCTTAAAGTATCACATGGTAGGCATAGACATTCTGATCTAATGAAAATTAAGTCTTTGACACAAATTTGTTTGACAGAATGAGAAATCCTGATTCTCCCACCCCCATTCCATGTTAACATAATTAACACGCCTCAGTTAATTTAAAATAGTGTCTCCAGGGATTCAAACTTACTATAGAAGAACTGGTGAGTGAAGGAGCGATTATCCGGACTGATTCTCCATTTTAGCTCAATTGGATTTAATTTGGCCCGTTCTTAAATTTTGGAGAGGGGGACAAAGTATGATGTTCTGTAATGGGTTTCTACAATCTTTAACATATGGTCTTTTTCTAGAAAGGCCCATATATCTAATAACCTCCTGATTAAAAGTGCTGATTTCATCTAATCAATAACTTCCAAATATTTTACTACTATTAATCTGACTAATATGATGAATTTAGCACACATTTGATCATAGCTGCTTTTGCTCACAGAGACATGACACACCTTAACTAGGCTACTTATGGCATCCACGGGCAACAATGCTACTGCACACATTCCCTACAGAAAATTGCTTTAAAAAAAGAAATATATATATATATATATATATATATATATATATATAATTTCTTTTAATAAAGTCAGAAAAAAGCTTACAAAAGCAGGGTCATTGCCTCAGACATAGCAGAAGGCGGCTCTTTCACCTCTATTAAATGCTTGAAATTCACTCGTTAACCCATGTGCCATTCCATACCTGACACTGTCAAGGAATAGACACTGACATTCTCAGCACCCATAAAGTGAATGCAAGTTCAGCATCTGTGATGGTTTGAATGATAATGGCCCCCATAGGTCCATATGCTTGAATACCTAGTCCCCAGTCGGTAGGTCTGTTTGGGAAGGATTCAGAGGTATGGCCTTGTTGGAGGAGGTTTGCCACTGGGGTTGGGCTTTGAGACTCAAAATACTCATTCTCAATGTACACTTTCTGCTTCATGCTTTGAGATCAAGCTGTGAGCTCTCAGCCGTTCTTGCCACTGTGTCTTTGCCTTACCATCATGGACTCTAAACTTCTGGAACCACAGGATCAATTAAGTACTTTCTTTCCTACGTTGCGTTGATTATGGAGCTTTATCAAAGCAATAGATAAGTAACTAAATCAACATCTATTTTTTTTCTCCTTTAGGTTCTAGAGGCAACGTACTCAGTTGGAAATCTTAATATTACTAAAATTTTGGTCCATGTTGAAGAGGAATCCTGCCAAGCCAAACACTAAATAATTTGTATAAATTGTAAGTGATAAACAATTCTGCTAGTACCTACAGATACTTTGGTTGCTTCATCTCATACCCCCAGTCTCTGCATTGCCTATCATGATTATGAATTGGCCCTGGGATTCTAATTTTTTAAAAAAAAATGCCTTTTCTTGGCCTCATACTAATATTCCAGTAGAGTGGAAGACAGTGAAATTAGAATAGAGTCTTGGAATAGAACCTCAAAGAACTTGAACCTGTACTCAAAAGCATCCAGCAAGCCATTTACTTGGGTCATTAAAGTGGTACCCTCTTAGCTTGGCATGTCTACTGTGATCTTAGATGCAGAATGGAGTCACATCTGGGCATTTTGACAAATTCTCTCCCCTCCTCTTTACTCTCTCATTTTCCAGACACCATGACATTCTTGAAGTCATCTACTTCTCAACGTTTTCAGCAACATGACAAATTTCTTGTGATAAAGTAAGTGAATACACTAGTAATATTTCTGTTACACATCTTTGTGGAGAGTTGTTTCTTTTGGTCTTCTAGCCAAAAAAAAATTCTAATAAAGGATAAAGCCAAGGGGAGGTTCAATGATTGCATTGCAGGCATCCATCCTAGCACTGGAAGCCCTAGCCATTGGCCCTACCTGAACATTTTTGCAAACTTGTAGACCATTCCCAAGAGTTTCTGCTTTAGGTCATGATAAACACTGGGAATTTCTTGCTTTACAGATATTCAAAGCACGGGTTGGATTAACACATTTCTCCTGGTAGGCTTACCCCACAACCTAACCCCAACAGGGTACTCCTTATCTGACTATGAATCCTAGATAACAATAGCAGTCAGGGAAATCATGCGACGTAGAATACTCAGGCTGAGAGCTTGAAGAAGACATGTAGTGGGAAATCAACCTCCCATGAAGACAATAGTGATGATTAAACATGGGGGACAGCCAGGGTAAGTAAGAAGTCCGGTGATCTTTCCAAAGAATTCTTATTTAAAACACAAATTGGTGGATTAGTTGAGCAATGTCTTGTAAGTCAATCTTTTAAAAAGCCCCATATACGTGTGTGTGTGTGTGTGTGTGTGTGTGTGTGTGTGTGTGTGTGTGTGTGTGTGTGTAGAGAGAGAGAGAGAGATTCATTCTATAAATTCTGTTCTCTCTAAAGAATTCTGACTAATGGAATCTTTTTTTCTGTTTATAATCAGTCTCTCTATTAGGCATATCAAGAATAGGCAAAGTAAGCTGGGCGGTGGTAGAACCTTTAATCCCAGCACTTGCTTTAATCCCAGCACTCACACTCAGGAGGCAAAAGCAGGCAGATCTCTGTGAGTTTGAGGCCAGCCTGGTCTTCAGAGCAAGCTCCAGGACAGGCTCCAAAACTACACAGAGAAACCCTGTCTTAAAACAAAACAAAACAAAAAAATAACAGATAAAGTCTAGCTCAATGTAGCTGCTGGGCCTTAGGCTCCAGGATTGAGTAGAAGCAGACTTATAGAAACATTGTGGTATAATTAAAATGTTGATATATTAATTAGGTTTATGTCTATATAAGTATATCCTTTTAAAAGTAGTAATATGCATTCACTGTGTTTAAATTTTACCTAAGGAAAAAATAAATACATTTTCAACAAATAAAAATTTATTTATTCACCATTAAAAAACAAAACAGAACAGAACCAAAAAACAAATTGGAAAGTGATACTCCAGCCCCTATTAAGTGTCATTCTCACCAAAGGCATTGATTAGTGTCTGGAGAAAATGAGTTCTACATCAGTGTCACACAGGTGGCCATTACTGGCTGGACAAAAGGCTGTGTAGTAAAGTTCATATTTTTTTTATTGCCATCTCAAAATATTTTGTCCTTTCTTTGTTAGGTGGGTGCTTTGCATCCAAGTAGAAATGCTTTTGCTCATCCCTAAAAGCCTTGGTGGTCATCTAGTTATAAACTGTTGTCCACTAGGTATAGTAGCATGTGTCTATAATCCCACAACTCAGGAGGCAGGTTCAGGAGAACTGCCATAAGTTTGAATCCTGCCTGGTCCATATAGTAAGTTCCAGGCCATTCAGGGTAACATGGTGAGACCTCATCTCAATACATAATGAAACAGAGCCAAGCAATCAAGCAAACAACAAAACAAAACAAACCACCTTAAATTGATGTCAGGCATGAATAATGGCTTATCACCAAAGTTTAAGGCTGAACATCTGATATAATCATTTGTAACTGGTCCAGCCATAATTTCCCT